AATTAAGTTCACAGTACAAGGCATCACTGTATTTGTATAGCTCTTGGCAATGTCATCTTAAGGTAAAGCCATGAGCTACTGATTTTTACCTAGAACAAATGATATTAAACTGTTAACTAAAGAAGGAGTACAGTTTAAAGCTAGTGGATGAGACTTCATTTTTATACTTAGTACCAAAGCAGCCTGTATAACTTTGAAAAAGGTTAAATCCACCAATTGATTCCCTCTGCCCTGAAGACAACACTGAGCCACTGCATCAAACACAAGATCACCAAGGTCAGCTCAGCACCCCATTCAACGTAGTGTCCTGGGCAAATGCTTAATTAGATAACCACTAAGGCTGTCACTCATGCTTGAAATCTGAATTCCAAAGTCTGGAAGCAAGTGACAACAAATTGAGCTACACAATCTCTCTTAGCAGCCCCTGGGCTTTTGAACTGCTTTCTTTCCAGTGTGGACCAGTTCAATGCCAGGGGGACTTCAAAAGGAAATAAACCACACTCTGTGCTCATGCATGTCATTCAGGCCGTATGTCAGTTTCTGCTGTGCCAATCATAACACTCTAAGGCTTACTCTCAGCCTAAATGCAATATTTGCTTCCAGGACCCAGCCATATAAGGAGTGCAAGCAGTCTTCTGCTGGCACAGTGTGAATTCCTACAGCTCCAGGTTGATCACAGAACCCATGTCAAATAATTTTGATAAACTGAGGGTGGAGGTAGAATGGACTTGATGTATCTCCAAGAGTATTCCACAATCATATGGAAGAATTATGACCTCAGAAGAAAGAATCAATCAGCTTCTCCGTGCCCTGTGCCCCACAGATGCTTTGAACTACAAAACTCACCATTATACAACATTTTCTGAACAGAGCAATACATGAAGATTTCTTGGTTATGCATATTTCCCTGCCTAGAAACAAAATGCGCAAATTTACTAGAGAGGTTTTTAAAAAAGACCTTTTCTTTTGACAGCTGTCAAAACAAAATGTTCAAGAAAATAAAGTGGGATGTAGATATCCCCCTTCCAGAATATGCAGAGGCTTGCAATAGTTAGAAAAGCTGAAGGGGACTAAGAAAGCACGGGGAGTACTAAAAAACTAGAGGAAAACACCCAAAAGGAAGAGTCATACCTGCTACTTCCTTTTGTGGAAAAAGTCCTTTGCTGCTTTGCTTTTCAACTGATGGCTTAGCACTTAACAGCTGTCAAATATGCGCAAAATAACCTAAATATAGCCTCCTTGGTCAATGTTCACAGATGTTTGTGCTTTGACAGCAGACATTTAGCAGAATATTTGTCAGGCAAGATTCCAAATTTTGGGCAGCTATAGGCGTGTACACACACATCTGCAAAGGGCTGATTTTAAAAAAATCAGATAAAACTTTGCACATTTGGTCAAGGAACCAAAATGCTAATCCCAAATGCAGCTTGAGTATCTATTACAGTAGAGGCTTTGGCAAGCTCTCCAAAGTGACAACGGGTGTTTTTTTGTTTGTTTTTTGCCGCTCTTGCCAAGCAGCTTGCTTGTCACTTCCTGCAAACTCTGATGGAAGAAATCTTCTGGGTTTAGTTGACACACCAACCCATTGTGGCATCAGCAACCCTTACAACAAGCTATGAGTTGTCAGAGTTGCTTGTTGCTCCAAAAGTAAGCCACCCTGGAGGAAATAGTCTGGGTTCTAATGACTTGGCAACCCACCATGGTTAGTAACACATAATGGATTGCCATATCATGAGAACCAAGTCTTTAAATCAAGTGAGATGCATGTTAATTGCATCTATAGGTTATTACTCAATTTCTTTACACAAGTAATCTCAAGAACTACAAAATCCAGTGATGAAGTATTCATGTTGCTCCCCTTTTAAGTAGTTAATATATTATTTCATTAAAATATTCAATGTACATTTTAGAGATGTTTCTATTTTCAGTGTCAAAGAGGACAGATCCTGAAATTTTCAAATTTCTAACATGCCTTTTTAATTAATGTTGACTTTCCAAAGTCAACATAAAATTCATCAATGATAAAATATTGTTTTAATGGATATATGTAGCCACTTTTTAACAAACAAGCTGTAAGATTAATCAGGTTTAGTAATAATTTTCAGTGTATGCTCTGGTGTATATCTGATATAAAGTAATCCACACAAAATACTTGGGTTGGATCCAACCACAACACATGGTCATCTGCTTGAAGAACAGAGCTTTTTAAAAAATTTGTCTTTTTCCTCCTACTGTAGCACTCCAGAAAGGACCATCCAGAATAATATGGGATGTGCAGGGACTAGTCCAGGAATAGCAGTTGGAGAAACTTGGGAGACAGAACTGCCTTCTGTTCATGCAAGAATGTCTGTAAATCCCAAAACCTGAGTTTATGAACATAATCCACATCTATCTATGCATCCTTTAAGACACAGTTCTACACACAGTATTTCCTTATGGGGAGGGCACACAGTTATGTGATGTGCCCACCAGTATCATGTTAAGCCTGTGGCATTCAAACTGTGCTGCCCAGAAACCCAGGAGCATCATTCAGGGGTTTTGCTCCTATGATTGGAGTGAAATCTTCATTCCTTTGTTTCATTTAAAAGAGAGAAGTCTGTCACAAGGTAAGGTCTTCATTTTAACCCAGAGCCTTTACACACATACCTCTAAAGGCAAATTAACTCTTTTTAAAGCCAAAATAGTTTCATTCAAGTGGATTCAGACTGACAGGACTAACAATCTCACAGGCTTAATAAGGAATAAATAGATGCAGAACCAGAAATGTGATCACAACTGTCATCAATAATACTAAATTTTGATTTTCTTTGTGGCAAAAAACAAGCACATCCAAGACATTGAAATGAAGGATCATTTTTCTTATTAGTGATGTTAGTTAGTTATTAGTTAGTGATGTTGTACTAAAATGTAGTATGTATTCAGTAAATTTAGTATTATTTAGTTACTAAGTAATAAGTGGGTTCTTTAATGCATTTATAAATACTTTCCAGTTGTACAGTATGAAATGCATGATTGCAACATTAATTGTATCATTTTGTTAAAATAAAATGTATTACATGAAACTTATTAATGGGTTCTGCACTGGTTTATCATATTGAAAAGGGTTCCTCAGGTATCTCAAGTTTGAAGATTACTGTTCTAAAACAGTGACATTTCTGAAACTGACCTAAATAAGCCTTTGGAAATTGTGTAATCTGGAAACAAAGTGTTTCATTCCAAACAGAGATGATTACTCTGCACAAAAGAACTGACAAACAAAAGTTCAAGTTCATAACCTATCTGCTTTGTCCAGACTTGCTCCAAGAAATGTGGATAGTCAGAATACTGAAATAATATCATTGTGATGCTGCAAAAATATTATTTTTCCAGTTCTGAAATATTTTCTGTCTTTTATTTCTACAAAACTGTAGTTATGTCTAGTGCTACACAGTTAGCATTGTCTGTAATGGCACATTCAGTGGGCCAAATTTCTGCCTCCTCTCACCAATGTAATGACTGTTCAACTGCTGTTCACTGTCTGGGAAGAAGCTGCTTTGGCATGATTAATTTTTTGTATTGCATTATTTTGATCCTGGCAAAATTATCTCAGCCAACAGGGATCTGCTTAACAGATGTGGAGTTGTCCCAGTGACATGTAGCTAACCAGATCTGGTTTCTAGACTTCATCACAGAGCCAGTTCGGAGTGAGGCTACTGCTAGTTACCCTCATTACAAACACATAATCACTTTTGCCTGTTTTCAGTCATTCTGAAGAATTAATAGAAAGAGTGGGGTGGGAGAAGCCATTGTCCAATCAATGAATGCGTTGCCAAAAAAATAACTACATCTTCAGCACTAGTTAACCAGGGAATGTCTGTTCCACATCCCTCTCTCCTATTGCCTGTCACAGAAAAGAACACTGCACACCGTTTGTTCATCAGATCAGTACCCCACTCATCTTAGAAACCAAAGTAGAACTACAAACTACTGGGGCTGCAATCCTAAACAAGGAGCAAGTCCCCATGAACTCGATGGGGACTTACTTTAGAGCAGACATGGACAGGATTGCACTGAGTCTTACTGTGCAATTTGGTGCATATCTATCAGAACAAAGTCCTATACAGTCCAGCAGATCTGTATAGCACATAACTTGTCATAAATGGATTTCTTCCTTTTCATTGCATGTGCTTGCATTCAGTAACTAGAAGGACTGAAATCCTGAATGATGAATTCTTTGACAAGAATAATATCTTAACAGAATAATGCAAATCCTTACCTGTGATTTTCTGCAGTAAGATAGGCAGCTCAGGTTCATCACAAATAGTTTGGACAAGGGCTTCCTTCACTTCTCCTTCAGCTTCATCTAACTCTTTCCCAGGTTTGATTTCTCCAACTATGGAGTAAATATATACCAGCAATACAAGGAGGTCTTCAACAGTATAATCATTGTATGTCCTGTTCTTATGAGACTTGATGATAGGCAGCAATTGTTTCAGGACACTAGGTAATGCCGACTCCCCAATATTCTGAAAAGAGAAGAAAAAGGAAAATCCCTTATTTTCAAATTATAAAATAAAATATCATACCAAACAAGTTGCAAACTATCCAGGACAAGATGTTGAACATTTTCAGAAGATTTGGGGAGGTAAAAATTCAAATCCCAGGCACTAAATGGGCTTGGGACCAGACTTGCAGAACGACTGCATTCTCCTATATGAGCCTACCCAGGTTTTAAGAACTTATGGGTCCTTTCTTTTGGTCCAGCAGTAATAAGAGGCATGTTTGGTATGGACAGTCTCAATGGCTGCTTCCAGGCTCTGGAATTCCCTACTAAAGAAGGGCAGCTGGCTCCTTCTCTGTCGTCTTCCTGTTTTTAAACAGTGATTTGCTATTAGCTGCCCTGGGTGCCAATTTTTATGGTGGAGAGCGGCAACGAGTAGAAAAGCAGGATATAAAACCGATAAATAAATATCCATCTTCAGTCTCTTGTTATCATCACTTTCCCTGACTGTTTTGTGGAGTGATTTCATTAGACAGTTGTTTGTATATTTCAGGAACAGGAGGCAAAGATAACATAGGCTAAAACTTTTTGACATCTCACACTTAATTTTGCCTGGGTATAATATATTTCCTAGGTATAATATAAAGCTTTGAGTTATAAAGTCAGCTAGATATACTATTTTGTCAAAATAGTGGCCATTTTAAGTCTCTTTTTATCACGATTGGAAAAAATTAATCTTGAAGGTGGTAAATATGCTTTTAAAAATGACACAGGCAACAGACCCTAAGAGTACCACCATTTTCTTTAAAAGCATATGCGATTTTCTCCCTCTACAAAGCAATAGCACTAGAGAAAAAAATCATTGGAAGTTAAGTCTGATGATCCTCACAATGTTGAGGAGTTGTTTCAGGGGAAATTTCCTTTTCACTGAAAACTTGTGCTTGGATCTGAACTTTGTGGCAAAAGTTGGATCAATCCAACAACTGCTGCAGGAAGGAAATACTTGCATAATTAATATGGCTGGTTTGAGCTTCCAGTCTGCTTGTTTAAGAGCTAATATTTATATTTACAATAAATATTAAATATTCATTATTAAGAAACTGGGAATAGCAATGTTTTAATGGCCTAAGAAGGAAATGATAGAAAGAAATTGTTGCAAGCGCTTAGTCCTTGCACCTGAATATTCTTGGTTGCAGGTTAAAAGGGAGAATTGCCCCAGGCACAGCTATTGAGCATGGCATATTTCTATTCCACATAAAACACACCTGAGGAATCAGCAGGGTCATCTAACCCATCCCATAGTGTAGCATAGAAGAACCCTATACTTAAACATATTTTTAAATGCTTAGTACCAACACAGCCCCTCAGTGCTTGTTTATCCCTTCACATGCCAGAGCTTGTGCTTGGTTTAGGAACAAGTCAGGAAACCAGAGCTGAATGGCACGCTAAACAAACCCTATTCTGTACTATTACTGTGACACTGCTGCTCTAGCTCACTTTTTCCCCTTGTGAAGAAGCCAGGGTCAAGTACATAATACTTCACTCCATTGTAGCCTCACCACAACCACCTTGTGAGTTGGGAGAGGGTGACTGACTGGCTCTCAACTTTTCAGTCTGGAGAAAAGAGGCTCAGAGGGTATCTTATAGTGACATATAGGTAATTGAAGAGGTGTCACATGGTAGAGGGTTGTGACTGTTCTCCCCTGAGGTGGAGGAAAGGATGCAGTCCAATGGGGAAAAGCCCAAGGAACTGGGTTTCAGGCTGGACGTCAGGAAGTACTTCCTGATAATTAGGACCCCTAGGATATGGAATGGGCTTCCATGGGAGGTGGGGGAGGGGCATCAGTGAGATGTTGAAAGAAAGATGTCGGGTATTACATGAGTGGACCAGCTGGAGCCGGGGGTCAGACCAGTTGGCCCAGGAGGCCCCTTCTGACTTTCTGTGTTTCTATAATTCATGGCTGAGTGGAGACTAGAACCTAGAATCATAGAATAGCAGAGTTGGAAGGGGCCAGAAGGCCATCAGGTCCAACCTCTGCTATCGCAAGTCCCCAGTCAAACAATCTAACCACCATATGACACTCAATCTAACATGTGGCATATTAATGTTTTTGACCTTATTCATATTGGATATGCATGATAATAGACCATCATAATAGATATGATTGGATTCTTTTATCATAATAGATATGATGAATTAATAGATACAATTGGATTCTTTTATCATATTAGATATGATGAAAGAACAAAAACAAAGGTTTCTTAGGTTTGGTAACTAGGAGACTGAAGGTAGTCATAGTACTGGAAAATAATAGTTTTATAAAAAGTATAAGTATACAATACACTTTGACCATGGATCAGAGTTTTCATGTATCTTACGGTACAATCCTACAGATCTCAACTGAAAGAAGTAAATCCTAGTGAGTTCACTGAGACACACCCTAATACATGTGTATAAGGCTGCAGCCTATCATACAGCCCTTTTTTCTTAACTGAGTTGCTTTTGATCTATAAGAATAAGCACATGAAATCCCTCAGAAATACCCATGGACAAAATGAATTGGGTATTCATTTCTGCTTTCTACCTCCAGTTTGAAATACATTTCTGCTTTCTACCTCCAGTTTGAGGCCTGTCTCTTCCTGGTAGCAGTACTAGTTGTTGCTTTTTCCTCCTTTCAAAACATAAATGTCCAAAGTGTGTGTGCGTGCACACGCATACACATGTATGTATATGCATTTGTGTGTTTTATCTAAATAAATCAGCTGGGCTGTAGTTCAAATGAAAAAATGGTACAAGCCATTTCCTTCAGAGCACAGGAAAACACCACGGAGAGCTAGAAAATTCACCACAAACAAAACCCTCTAGCAGTGTGTCATTAACTAGCCACCTCTAATGATTTAGGAGCTCTCAGTGCTGTTACAAATCAATCAATTACACTGATTGAACAGCCCTTAAAACACAAGTTTAAAAAATGTAACTACCCGTGACCCAAATTTCCTGCTGGTTATGTTGGCCTCAGGTTAGCCTTGTTTGTCTATCATCAAGGGGGCCAATAAAAATAATAAAAAGAAGGTCAGTTCTGAGTTCTGCAAACCCTTCATAAAAGCAGTCACACTACTCAGGAAGGCTCCAACCAAGACGACACCCAGCACTTTGTCTCCATTTATGACACTTGGCCATTTTAACATTATGCTAAACTCATATGAACAGTTTCTGTTATTGCTAACTTGTTTTGCATTCAGTCAGAGCTAACAAATAATCTAGCATCCCCAAAGGAGAAGCAGCGCTGTCAATTTGCTCAGTTAGACAGATTACAGTTTGGCAGGCTGGAGGATATAAGAGAAGGAATACATAGTTTCCATAATAAGAAAGCAGTATTATTTTGCAAACATTGCGCTTAAATCTAAACTCACATTCTACAGCACTCAGGGGAAAGCCATACTGCAATCATTGGAAAAGAAGTCTTTTGTACAGAACTGTATAATATTAGAAAGAGTGCATGCTAAAATACATGCAAAATAATTTTGTATGTCCTGTTGAGCTTACCAAATTTCAGCGGTTACGTGGTAAGAAGAGTGTCCTTGGTTTCATTTGTATAGAAAAGAAAATAGTTTTCAAAGCTGAATGAAAGGGGGAAAGATTCCATACTTTAATACTGGCATCTCTTGGCGTGGGGGGGGGGGGGGAGTTGTAATGCTTGGCAATACCTGAACATAAATGTTCTATAATTGTGGCGCTAACATTATTAAAGAACATGAAGCAGTTGGTATATGTAGTAGTACAAAGCTTCTGGAAAATGGTACAAAGAATAAAGTTGTCCTTGAGGAGTTGGCCAGCCTACGTCTGAAACAATATGAATATGAAACAATATGCCTTCCTAACCCTCCAGAAGACTTGGAACAGACAAACCAAACAGGTGGCAACAAGAAGGCACAGAAATGGAGCTCTCCATCTCTCCACCATGAGTCCTAACAATTACTAACATTTTTTGCAAGCAAATAACTTTTCTGATCTTATTGCTAAGGTTGCTCTAGCCACAACTTTGAACTAGTTTGGCACCTTCCTTAACAAGTCACTAGTAACCACCTGGTACAACAGCAAAACAAAATCCAAAGTGCATCCTTCCCCTGCCCTGAAACAAATTGAGGAGTTCTGGTTGAACTACAAGATGTCCTCACACCTTTCACAAATCATATAAAAATTCTTCTAAGAAAACATGGTTGCACTATGATAACTTCATATAACTTAAGCCATGTTTAAGTTATAACATAGAAGATGCTTTCCTCAGCACCTAGGGAGCAACCCAGCCTAACAATACAAGGACTCTTCAACCAATTTTGGTTTGAAAATATTTCAAGCAGTCTCCTAGCATATCATGAATGGAAATGCCACATAATTACAAAGGCAGAAATCAAGCTATTAATTAATATGTCTATGTCCCCTAAACAAAAAACTTCAGTATAAAATCAAATGAGAACATATTGGCAGAGGGTAACATGGAAAGGACAACTTGCAGTTGCACACCTCTTACATTTAGAGTATAGGTGATTATGTAAATTTAATAGGCAAATGTGGATATAATCAGGTTTATTTCCTAGTCCTTGTTCAGTTATAAACTAAACAAGCACACAACTCCAAACTCACTTCCAAACTAAACTTGATATATTCCAAAGGGGAAAGTCTGTCTATCAATCAATTCATCCATCTTAAAATGGTGTCAAAGCATCCATCAGTTAAGTAGACTCAGCAAGAACATAATCACATTAGGTTTAATACTTATTCCTCTGGTTATTTTTTGCAGAAAACAGTGTTACACAAAAAATTCATTGCAGCCCCTTTCCATCCTCCTAAGAATCCCTCCCCTTCTGAGTGGCAATTTCCTGCCTTCATTAAACTTTCAGCCTCTTGATTGCTCTGGTTTCTTCTCAGTGGAACCTGTCAGATTCTGTTGTTGATTTTATTGCACCGTAAATGGAAGGCTTAAACACAAATGACCCTACACTAATAACAAATTAAATATCTAT